ATCAGGAAACCATTGCTGTGAAAGTATTACTCTTTGCATTTAAACTGTACCTCTATTAAGCGACCGGGTAATTAACTCAAAGGTCATCAGGAAACTATTGTTGTGAAAGTATTACTCTTTGCATTTAAAGTGTACCTCTATTAAGCGAACGGACAATTTCCTGAGGGTGTCCGCTTAATGCACGTTCTATCTACCACATATTTTCTTATAGTCTTGTGTATTATATCGTGCTCTGGAATAAGTCGTCCAAGCAAATAAGTTTGAATGAAAGACATTAATACGGTAATATCAGTATCAATTTTTTTTCTACTTTCTTGAAAAAGCGAACACAAATTTGAATTCCATTGGTTCTTTGAGAAACACAGCAATATAATCTTCTACGTGTCGTGCTTCCCCTAACACTTCTCTCGTGTTCTGCTAACCCCCGCGTGCTTTATAACTGCACACAGCACGCGCGCGCATTTTCTATGGCTTCACCAACAAACACACTCGTTACTATTTGCACTCTAAATGTCAATAAAAATGGGAGTTAAATTTGATAATGTCATTAGAGCTAGACTTCTTCGTCTGCAACTTCAGTGGCCTCGAATACGACACTTCAAAAATACTTGGAAGATGCATCTTTGGTTTTCTAGATCTTTCCTTGCATCGCGTGTCCTTGTCAAACGTTTCTCGCTCTTTTGTCGATGCTGCAATTTCTGGAAGAGACCGTTTCTTAAAAACCTTGACTTTCTGCGACGAAAACGGCCCACAGTTCCCTATTTGAGTAAACTCAAAGCAACGATCAGCACCTTCACCTCCATATATTCTATCCATTGTATTTTCAAGAGTTTCACCGTCTGCTTGAAGTCCGTTGGTAAACAATTCCAGAGCCAGTTTCTCAACGTCTTCAAGGACACTCAAATCTATTAATTTTGGCTGGTGGTCCCATTCGTTTCCTTCCAGAACATTTTTTGTACGGCCCGATAAACTGGAACTTCTACGACCGTCGATGAATTTCGACCTTCCTCTGCGTGATAATTGATCAGCTGAACCGTGTTTTTTTCTTCCGAGGGTTAAAGACGTGGTCCTTTTTTGTCCTTCGATGAATTGCCCAAGGCCCTCATAGTTTGAAGCGTGCACCTCTAAAGGACCCGTCAATTCTTTGTCCTTTGAAGGTGGAAGATTTAGTAATTCGCAGAAGTCTTGTATCCGCCCTGCTTCATTTTCGTCTTCAATTGATGGAAGACGTTGTAAAGCGAATTTCCTTTTTAACTCGTTGTAGTTACTATAATTCATCGTGCAACTTCTAGGTTCAACAAGCCATTTAAGCAAAGCCCAGGGCTCGCTGCCTATCACATAAGACAACCATTTTAGCCTTTGAACACTTAGACGTCTATTTTGAGTGCTTTGCGCTAACCTCCGGACCGTTATCTTTATTCCCTACGGATCCAAATTGTCATCAAACTCAGTAGTTAATTAAATGGTAGTAATCCCTGCTTGTGCGAATGAATAAACGTTTAAGTAACTTGTCAAAACATTTTAGTTTGATAAATAAGCTAAAACTGGATGAATTGTTTTGCACTTATTTTAAACGCCATTAATTTTTTTGCCTGGATTTTTTCACGCTCATTCTTTACTACAGCTTCGTATAGTTAACAGGAAAGACTTCTATCTCTCAACTATGGCTTTTGGTAACTATTTAGGTAACAGTCAAAGACTTATTTATAGTACTAAAATGAAAATAAGCAAACATAAACCATTTGAATGGAAAGCACAGTGCGAAACGCGAGCGTGAGGTGGCTTTGGACGGCCATTGTTCATCACGGATGAACATCACACCTTTGTCGTTCTAGAATAAGAAAGAAATGATCCATTAGACGTGAGTTGAAGAGCCTGTGATAGGATGTACACGTGCTAGTGGCCAGACTGTTACTGCAGGGGTAAACAAAAAATGGTTACGTACGGCGTAGTACTAGTTTGGTAATTGCGGACACCACTCCACTGAAGCATGGTTTTCACTTACGACGGAATCGGAGTCGGAAGCAGTTCATTCGTGAAACTGCAAGTTAAAACATTAATGCGTCGGGCAAAAGTGAACCCCCAAAAACGGGAATAGCCTACCTCTATTAGTACTATAGAGGGATTTGTCAGTAATGTATACCTCTATTTAGCACAAGTACACACCAATGCAGTCCCAACCATCTATAGTAATTAACGCTAGTCACTATCATAATATCAAATTAGGACGATAAGATATTTTATTAAGATTTTTAGAGAAGAATTCCACTCGACAAGCTCATGCCATCTTGGAAGTCTAGTTAAGTTCTAAACAAACAAATGTGTTTGACGTTAAATATATATAAATATTGACGACTACATGTAATATCTGGAGACTCAGTAAGGCCCTGAAGAAATAAATGTATTGATTGTCGAAATATACTAGTAAGATGACACAAGTCATTTCCATGGAAACCGTATTTTCAAAGAAATTCTGTTGAATACAAAGGTATTTAGTAGGTTACATATATTAATATATTCTAAGTATTCTCATCTTTGCATAGCCTATAAGTAAAGATGGGCTTTTGCAAGAGCCTTGCTTATTTAAATCAGTCTAGTTCTTGAACCAGTTTTTGATTGTTTTTATTCTTCAAATACTCTTGACCTGTCGCTTTCATCAAAATTCATTTTCTCGACCCTCGAACTTCATTTTGGGCCTGTTTTGCATTCAGAATTTGTTTCTTTGTCTTGGCAATCTCAGCATCAAGTTTTCTTTCTTCTTTTTCGAGAATAGCAAGCTCAGATTCTCTTGCTCTGTAGTTTTTCACCGCCTTATCCAGAGAGTACTTCAGATTTCTTATCTCCACTTCATACTCCCTGTCTGTCTTCGGTCTATAGTTCCTCGCTATCACCCTCGTTGATTGTTCATTCAAGCGGATAATTTCTTCGTAGTTTGAAAATCGGAATTTAGCTTTCTTCTCTCTCAATTCGGCTTCAGTAATCTTGGCCTTAATGGCATCCATCTTTCTGTTCTTCTTTGCAATTTCTTCCACGAAGCAAGAAAGCCTGTCTCTCGCGTCACTCATTTTTTCACTGAACGAGGGAACATCAAGTCTGTTATCCTCCAAGCTCTGGCATGTTTTTATGTTTTCCTCGTCCCTTTTCTTCGCTAAAAAGAGCTTCCCTTTCTCATATTGAATCTTGGTTTCTATTTTATCAATCCTTGCATCAATTTCTTGCATTTTGTCTCGAATTACGTGCTGTTTGTTAACAGCGAGTCTCTCGCGAGCAAACTCTTCCCTCGCATCCATTTTGAGCTCTTTGGTCTTGGCTTCTGTCTCGCGAATCTTCTTTTGCTTATCAACCATTTTAGAGCAAATACTCTCCAAGCTTTTTTCAATCATAGGTTCATAGCTTCCTCTAACTAAATACGCCATTGTTTTGAGCAAACCCCTTGTAAACCTTCCAAGAACACAAACAGGTGAGTGTAGTTGGACACCACAAGCAAGGTGCGCAGAGGTCGAAGAGAAATGTACGCATAAATTGCGTGCGCGTTGGTTAAATGAACATGTTTATTGTCACATGATTTCGGCAAATTTTAACTGCCTTTTTTTGCTCAATGACCTGACATTCCGCTTACAATAAGTGAACATTATAAATATTTTGCTAAGACAATAGAGCTCCACAACAGAACCCATACTTGTGATCCTGTTGAAAAATCTTAAAGTAAGCGATTACGATAAAGTTATGTTCGGTCCTTGTTTACAGATTTTTGGCCAAGCATTACTATCTTACTCTCTACCACAGTCACTGGCATACAGTTTTATAACTTTGTTGATGTGAGATAATAATGATTGATGGTGTCCCTGCGGTTCATACATGATTTGAAGGCAGGGCGTTCAATTGTCCCTAGGGTGGCCTATTTATGATTCGATCTATCTAGAATCTAGACAATTAAATAGTGAAACAGCCCACATGCAGTTCAGCCCGCGTTATATATTAGGTATATATTAGGTATATTATATTGTATTTAGTCTTACTTATTTACAGTGAAAGCGACACCTCCCAATTTTAGTCGCCCGGGACCCTGGCGCAAGATGCCAGAATATAAACAATAAAAGACAAATATCATTTATTATAACATTAGTGAAATCAATAGAAATCGGAAATGGAAAAGGTATTGTAACAAGATTTTTAATCCCTCCCTCCCTCCCTCCCTTCCGCCTTCCTTCCTTCCTTCCTTCCTCCCTCCCTCTGCCCTTCTTTTTTTCTTTCCTTTCTTCCTTATATACATTCTTTTGTTCTTCGTTTTTTCTTTCTTTCGTGCATTTTCTATTTTTTCTTCTTTCTTTCTTCCTTTTTTCTTCCATTCTTTCTTTTTCTCAGATTCGTGCATTTTCTATTTTTTATCTTTTTTCTTTCTTTCTTTCTTCTTTTTTTCTTTCATTCTTTCTTTTTCTCAGATTTAATTTCAAACGTTCGAGATGACAAGCCATAATACAAACCCACAAGGTCCTCACAAGGCGGCTTGCAAGAAAATGATGTTGAAGTCACGCCCAAATCAGCTTGTGCAGATAAATTCAACTCGGGCTCCCTGTGTTCAGTTGACCCAGAAGCCTTTTCAAGTATATTTGGGTGTAATAAATAAATCAAGATGGCGGGTTATCCAGGAGGGTATGGACGAGGATATGGGCCACCACCGGCACAGTCTGGATATCAATATATTGGACAACCAGGTACCCTAGTACATGCCACATTCGTCCTATATGCATTATTTATTAAATTCAAAACGAATTACGAAAGCAAATATTGCACATCTTTGTCAAGCACAGGGCGACCGATGTTGTGTTTGACCTTTCTCTTGTCACTACCTACTTGCCCCTAATTTATAAGAAAGAATATCCTATTGGCAAGGGTTATGTTATGCTTTATCGCTTTAATTTTGAGAACAGTTATCCATCATCATTACATATACTAAGAATCCTGAAAACTTATTTTCGACAACAGAAAATGATTATGCCTAAAAAGTAGGCGCTTTCTTTTTCCCTATATTCTCTCTCCCCTTTCGTCTTTCTCCCCAGCACTAAGCGCCTCTGGAACCAGGGAATATCGGATGTGGATATGCCTTAAATTATTTTATTAGTAATTTCTTTATTGTCTCTAACCTCTTGTCCCTAATCCTCCTAAAAAATCCTCAGTAAATAATGTCAAACCAGTCGCTATATATGCCTAAGGTAGGTAACTTGTTTAAGAGTAATTAATGGTTTCTTTGTCTGCTAGGTTATGGAGGAGCTCCTGCAGGTTACCACCCTCAACAAAGTTATCCCTCAGCTCCAGGCTATGGAGGTGCCCCTCCTGGAACTGATCCTACATTATGGAACTGGTTCATTACCGTAGATGCTGATAGATCAGGACAAATCTCCAGTAATGAACTGCAGCAAGCATTGACTAATGGAAATTGGTCACACTTCAATCCAGAAACCTGCCGATTGATGATTAGTATGTCAGACTATACCATAGCTGTGAAATTTAACCTTCTAATTTTTATGTTGAAAAAGCAAGCTCGTGATTAAAGATGGGAGAGAATAATAAATTCTACATGCACATGATGCAGAGTCTGAGAATCAAACTGGTGACCCCAGATGTTAGCGGCACGTGCAATATTGCTGCACCACTCTTCATTCCCAAAGCAAAGTCTTGCTGTTATAAAAATTTTTTTTATCTAGTGACATTTTTTCAAGTGTTATTTTTGGTTTTTGAATTATATTTTGTCGTCAATGTTTTTTTACTAGGCATGTTTGACAGGGATCAGTCTGGTACCATCAATTTCCAGGAATTCCAGCAACTGTGGACCTACATCCAGCAGTGGAAGGGAGTGTTTRATAGATATGACCGGGATAGATCTGGCCAGATAGAAAGTCATGAGCTTCATACTGCACTAGTGGATATGGGCTTCAACTTATCTGTCTCCTTTATACAGCTTGTCATCTCAAGGTAATTTTTCCCCTTTCCCCTATTTTTAGTCAACCAATCACAAAGTAGATTGATTGAACATGGAGCCAATTAGGATAGCGCAAAATGAAGAGTTATGTTTACCTCAGCCAATCACAATATTTTCTTCACACAAGTTGTTGATAACATCTACAGTCTAGGCTTCATTGCTTGCCCCTGATTGACTTATTGGAATGCTTTGTTTTATTCTACTTTATGATTCTGTTAACTATGTAAAATAGATCCATGAGGTGTGTCCATAGTATTGCCTCACTTAAGATATAATTTCTTTAGTATTCATGGTTCTGACTCGGACAATATTGAACCAATAGCTGTTGCAGCATTTTTACCAATGGAATCAAAGTCTTGACTTAGAGTATTACAAGGATTACGAGAGCATTTTATAGAGCATTTTCCCCTAGGAAACTGAATTCTTTCTCATATATAAATTAGATTAGACCAGATTCAATTGTTCCTGGCTCCTGTCATGGCTGCCATCATGTGATGGTGCAATGCCTCTATTAAATACACAGGACAGTGAAAGATTGAAACAAATTTTTCACTATCTGAGTTTTAAATCCAGGGATATTCTAGTGAATTTGTTGAGCTTTTGGGACATAGCAACAGTAACTAAGGGTCACCTTCCCTCGTGGACACCTTTATACAGTATCATGGACAGATATTTAGGTCCTGGCAAACTCCCCATACATTCTTTGTTTAAGGACATTCTCCATATTAAGGACATTTCTATTACAGAAACTTTTTCTGGCTCTTTAGTGACCCATATATGTAGGTTCCATTGTAGTATGACTCTTTATTTAGTTTGTCTTCATTTTCAACAGGTTTGATGTCCAAGCTCGTAGAAGTCTTAAGTTTGATAATTTTATTCAGTGCTGTGTCATGCTTAGGCTATTGACAGATGCCTTTAAGGCACGAGACACAAGCATGAGTGGCAGCATTACAGTAAGCTATAATGACTTCATGGAGATGGTCCTCCTTAACAAACCTTGAATTTCATGCTACATGTAAACTACTAATGTGAAGGAAAAATGTTTTGTTATAATATTATTAATTGTTGATATAATAGAGAAAATTAATGTTCAATTCACAGGGGTCCATGCACCTGGCCTCTAGCACTACAGGTTATAATAGCAGGGGTGTGTCCAATCATGAGGGGTGTCACTTCACAGTACTCAGAAACTTATAAGGAAGTTGAAACATGTAACACTATAACGATTCTCCGGAATATTCACATATGCAAATTAGGAGTTTTGTTACCATATTCGGAATTTTGATCTTGTTTTCAAGATGGCCGCTTCTCTTACATAAAACTTCTAGCTGAATTTCCTGACCTTCAGAGGAGATTTACTGAATTTTTCAATCAAAAATTTGGGGTATTTGTCTTTAATTTAGTTCTCAGAAGTTTTGAAGCAAGAGGATGTGATTTACTGGAAAAAAATTGTCAAAAAAAATTGAATATTCCAGTGCATTGTACAAAGAAATGTATGACTGTTACAAGTTTCAACCCCCTTTTGAGTTTCTATGCAGTACTCTCAACAAATCATCCCTTCCTTCCTATACAAATGTCCTTAGGCTTGTTGCTTCCTGTCTCATGAAGGGAGAAGCCACTACTTGTTTATGATGGCAATTAGAACAACTCTTCCTCACTCACCTCTCTACTCAACACATGTACACTACAAATAAACTTCTAATGGAAAGAGGGCATCAGGCACCCTTGTACTCTTCCATGACACACCTAAGGTGCATACTGTTGTACGTCATTGTTTCTTGTAAATATGTAATGAGAAGATTTAGAGATGTAGATGAGATAGTGAATTAATGTTATCCAGTACAGTACACTCAGCTACCCATCTCCTCTTTACCTCCACCTTTCAGGTTATTGCTAGACTAATAAATAGCGCAGCGCAACCGTGGCGTCATAAAAACGAAGACAAAGGCAAAATTCGGACAAACAAACTTACAAGTTTACTTTCAGCAGATAATTTTCACAGCTGATCGCAGTGGATCTTAGTTTACATGGGTCATTATTGTAACTTTAAGTAACAATGATAAAATTGGTCGTATAATCCTCGTAGTGGTTAAACAGAATGCAATGTTTGTCTGGATCTTTAAGCTATTTTTAGAATCAGTGCGCTGCGCTATTGACAGGGCTAAAAATAATGGACAGTCAGTCACTTGTTGTGATGACTGGCAAAATTAGTTTTAGTTGTGCCATAACTCATTGAACATTAAAGCAAAGACTTTACCAGACAAGTTCCAATTCTGGCCAGACTGTCCAATGACTAGCAGTTATTTTAAGCCCTGAATTGACACCAAATATTCGCCTAATTTGACAAGAAACATATAGTGATATTCACTGATAACAAACATTTAGGTCAGGAATCTTTTCTCATCCAAATTTGCCAACCATTAAAACGAAAGATCTCCTTGTTTCAGAAGCCAAAAGATCTCTGGTTGGCACATTAATATCAATACACTGTGTGTGTTGCAGTGCAAATTTTACTATACAATCAAAATTGCAACAATATTCAAAATTTTAATGTTCTATTTGGTAGTTATGATAGCGAGGTCAAACTACTAGTAAACAAACAAATGCCATCAAGTTATTTTGACCATTTTTCAACTACATCACTCTCAAAATCTAACTTAACCCTTTGTTGCATGGTTAATCGTATCCATGATGTAAAATTAAGTTGTCAATCGATTCTGATATGTCAATGTAAATAAAAATAAAAAGTTTGTTTTAATAGCAATCAACAAATCTGTGGTACAACCTGATTTTAATAAGTTAGCCAAAGTGGTAAACTATACACTAAATACTCTATTTTACAGTTCCGTTCAGTGACCACGAATAATAGTTCCAAAGTCAAGGCTGGAGTTGCCGTGCAAATCAAAACTATACTTTTTATTATGTGCGGCAACTCCAACCTCGGCTTGGAACTATTATTCGTGGTCACTGAACGGAACTGTACAATGGAGTATTGAAATATTGTGACCAATTTGAATATAAACTGTTGCGACTGACTAGCCTCTCATACATGTGAAAACTCTTTTATGTTTCCACGTGAACACGTGGCTAGTCAGTGTAGAACAATAGCTATTCAAATTGGTAGCCATATTTCAATTCTGCATATTTTCAGGGGGCTAGCAAATTCACTGAAAAACAAAGTGTGACAAGGAATGTTTCTTTAATGTGTCCACCATTCCTTGCATAAAAAAATCTATTATCAATGCAAAGTGCTGTATTTGTCCATAAAACTACAACGATAAAAGAAATGAGTTCACAGTACTGGTGGCCATGCCATTATTGTAACAGTACTGTGTCCAACATTTTCATTGATTGACTAGTTATATAGCATACTCTGATCAGTTGATCAAAGTATATCATCAATAAGCCCTTTGCAGGTACAATCACGTGTCTATACTGGAGAGCAAAAGTTTTGTTTTCATTGTAAATTGATGATTCTTTTTAGCTACTTGTAAAGAACTGAATGAAACAATGTGTAACCAGTGTGTTACGAAATGTAGTTTTATTACAATCTCTAGAAACAGGTTAAAAATTTGTTTGATTGCCAGTAAATTTCACCCATGGCAATCAAAATGTTCATTCATTTGCTCTCAGTAAATTAATCATGCAAGCCAGTACAGTAATGTCCTGCATCTCAAGATCCAAATATCTATAAAACTTTCCTAGTGTGTTTCAAGTGTCCTATGACATACAACATCCATTGAAGTAACACTAAAATCTTATCCTGGATATCTTGAACCCCTGTTATTTTGAACCTCTTTAGCTAGTCCAAGTACTGTAGGTTTAAGATAATGGGAATCCAATCGAAATGTGTACGTGTAACATACCATTTAAATGTCAAATGTGCTGTTAATGGATGGTAAGCTGAATCACAGGAAGAAGGGCGACAAAAAACAGTGATGACAACAAATATTTTGGTCTATTTGATATGTATCACTGGCAGCCACCTTGACATCATGGGTGGTAAGTCAATTACTAGGAGTGGGTTCTGGGAATCTCTGGCAATGATTCCATTCAAACAGATTAATGTCATGCTGAATTGAAACAGGATGTCTCCACCCTTTGCTAAAGTACCTGTGCAGGGGCAGCAACTGCACAGGCTTGCAATATAATAGTGGTTTTGGAGTGCCAGCAATGCTTTCTTTATAGGCTTGATACAAACGACTCGTAAACGAGGGCTAGAACTGAGATCATAGTTTAACCCTGATCTGTTCAGAAGCAAGTAAACAGGTGTTGCAGTTGGACCAAGAAGAGAGTTGTCAAAAAACTGATTATGACATTGAGAGCTGACTCATAAAACTTCACTTTTGGAGTAAGAAAGAGTAAAAATGTCAGCTATTTTGTTGGATCTTTCATTTCCACCTCGAAACTCAACACGTCAGTGGCTCTCAACATTGCTTCAGGTAAAGGCCCAATAGGTGTCTGTAAGTCTGAAACTATCAAGTTCTCAAAATCAATGTCGGTAGCTCTGAACACGGCTGTCACATTTGTTCTTTCATGCATGTGGAATTTAGCTGGCTTGTTGTAAATAGACTTCAGTGAAATTAGGAATTTTTCCCTAAGTTCTGATCTTGCCTCTTGCTCTCTCGTATTTTTATTTTCTGGTTGGTCGTTGTGCCCTCTTGTTTCCAGAGAGGTGACGTTTGTTCCAGACATCTGATGAAACTTCTGTAAAATATTTTATGTAGTTTGTGAAACTGCTTGGATCTGTTATTCACTGATTTCTTCTAAACCCACTCCCTGTAACATCATAAGTTATTATATAATAACTGTTAGCAAATATGAATTTCTCGAACAATAGTCTAATATGCTGCCCTCAGACTTTTCCAGTTTGTCTCTCGTCACTCAAACCACAGGAAGCCCATCCCATTTCAGAAATTCAAGTCATAATATCATATCCCTCCTAAAGAAAACATTAATAAGCATAACAAATCTCAAATGACCATAAAACCCTTTTTCCTATTTAGTCTAATTCGAAATTTAGGAGTTTTTAAATTACTGTAAGAAAAACGATGCTTAAATGTTTTACGGACTGGGTTACCTGTGTTAGAGTGAGGAATATACCGCTGTCCTAATATCTCGTAGGCTCCAAAGAGTTTCCAAGATGGCGGACGAGCAGCAGAGTCCAAGTGAAAAAGATGGAAAATTAAACCAATTACCACTGTCTAAGATCAAAACTATTATGAAAAGCTCCCCTGATCTAGTTAATGTCAGTCAGGATTCAGTGTTTTTGATAACCAAGGCTACGGTAAGTGAGAAAGAGTGCGTGAAAACTTCAAAGTTTGGCAAGCATGTGTTGTGGCGGGAAATTTGGACCTTGACTTCTTAATTCTTTTCTTTCCATCTATGACTTGTAATTTGGTTTTGGCGTGCTTGTATATCACAATTGCTAAGGAAGACCAGGGATTTAGGTTCTTAATAACACAGGTCTCCTAAGAAAAAAAGAAAGCAATTTTGTAAAGAGGTTCCCTTGTTAAAATTGAATTACCTAAAAAGTACTGACAAACATGGATGATTTCTTTTGGCTGCTTTTCCTTATGTTAAGTTTATCTTGCAGGAGCTTTTTGTTCACCATTTAACAGAAGCTGCTCTTAAAAGAGGTGAAAACAAGAAACAATTAACATACAAGGCTCTGTGTAAGTAAAGAGCAGGTGCATGTTAGTCATAGCCACCATCTTGGTTGACAATAACAAAGCATTCCTCACTAGCTCCTCTTGTTAGATCAACCAAGATGGCAGCCATTCGTTGTTATTCATATCTCAAGGAATTTTGAGTCACATGGTTGCACACACTCTATATTTGAGGATGTCATCTAGTGAAAAAAATCCCCCACCCCCCTCCCCAATGGCCATGGTTCAAAGTAATTTGCTAGTCAAACACCAATGTCTCTATGAAATTGGTACTCTTGACTAATCGTATGTTAACCAATCATGGTAGAAACACAGTACAGTGTGTTGTCATCAAAGTAGACTATAATCCATGAAGCTATTTATCTTGCCCAGCCATTATTTTTAGTCCTGCTTGCACCCTTCCCTAGTGTTGAGGACACCAGAACAATCTAGAGGAAAGGATTAAGCAAATCAGATATTTCTTAAATATCCACTAGTTTAATTATTTCAATTATTTCAAAAGTAAACAATACCTTTACAGCATGCGTTTGCATGTAGAAGATGATTTAATTTGTTTTAATTGTTTCGGTTTTGGTTTTGCAGCAAACTTAGTTGATGATGAGGATAACTTGCAGTTTCTAGCAGGTATAATTATATTATAAAAAATGAATTAAACATATTGAATGAATAAGTTATCCTTGTTTTACAAGGCAACATTTAATAGCCAGTGCTTAACAAACTTGTGGTACATAAATCTCCATAATAAAACTTGCTATAAAACAATATGGATGGTATGCTCTGCTATGGCACTGTCTCCCACTGCAGGTCTTACATAGAACAACAGCCAGTCATTGGAAAATGCCCAGACACAATTAGAACTTGAATCTCTGCATTGTTGGTCATTTTGCATTTTGACTTGTAATGTTTAACCAGAAACAAAGTATGACAAAGCTGAAACTAATTTAGCCATTTATCATTACCGGCAACTGACCAGTAGTTATTCAAAGCCCAGTAACACTGTGCAGGTCATGTCTGGTGTCTCAGCTTCAGTTCTCTTCTGAACCTTATGTGTGGGTTGAGTTTTTTGTATTGTGTTCTCTCTTAGACACAAGGATTTTTCTTCACTTTTTCATCCTCTGTAAAAAAAATCATCATACAGTTGAGTGTTGTGGGTTCCCAAATGTGCTTCTCTCTACCGCTCTTAGCTTTTATATATTATATTACAGAGACATGTGCATGTATATTCCTCAAACATATCATGTGTGATCTTTTTTTTCTTGTCAGATATTGTGCCACCTAAAGTCTTATACAAGGATTACCTAGCATCACTCAAGAAGGATAAAAGTGAAGCTATTGAAGTAGATAGCTCTAGTTCAGACTCAGAATAATAACATGAAGTCATACAAGAAAGAACAAGTAAAGGTCAGACATAGCCTGTACATAATACTCTGTAATTATATCAAGTGTTAAAGAAAAAAGTCAACGTAACATACCTTCTGCCATACTGTATATCATTTTAATGGATTATGTTGATGTTAGGTAATATGCATGGTACACTGTTATGAAGTAACATATTTATTTATAGCAAAGGGAAGCAGAAAAATATTTGAATTCAACAAACATTGCAGCCATGAAAACTAGCAAAATACTGTAAACTTCACCAGTAAAACAATTATTTTCCAATGGTTGCACACAACAAGGGCAAAAAGAAAGAACACAGAGAAAGAATGATAGAAGAAAAACAGTGCATGTTTTATAATCTTGATTTCCTTTAGCAATCTTCACAAAGCCACTTCACGCAGAATCTAGGATGACTTTATTAGAACTTGGGGCATATTTTACCACTGCCAGTCTTCCACAAACTATCATCAGATTTACTCTGTCAACCTGCAAATATGTAATCAGCATTAAGCTCCTTTTTGGATGCAATATTTCTGTAATAAAATTTTTAGTACTCCTTTTACCAAACTCTAAGGGCATTGGGTATACTAGTCTGTATACCATACAAGGGCATTGGGTATACTAGTCTGTATACCATACAAGGG